GCACCTTGTTCTTCATGTAGTGAGTCTCATATATTGTGCTTCAAAGTAGCACCTTGTTCCTCATGTAGTGAGTCTCATAAGTTGTCTTTTCATACTAGTGGGAATTTTTCATTATAGAACTTGGCTTGTATATTCCTACGATGGGCTTCCCCAAATGCCCTGGGTCTTCGTGAGCAAGCGAGTTGGATGCACACCCACTAGTTTTCTTTTGTTGAGCATTCATAGCTCTAGTGCATCCGTTGCATGGCAATCCCTACTCCTCATGTTGACATCAATTGATGGGCATCTCCATAGCCCGTTGATTAGCCTCGTCAAATGTGAGACTTTCTCCTTTTTTGTCTTCTCCACACAATCCCCATCATCATATTCTATTCCACCCATAGTGCTATATCCATGGCTCGCGCTCATGTATTGCGTGAAGGTTGAAAAAGTTTGAGATTATTTAAGTATGAAACAATTGCTTGGCTTGTCATCGGGGGTATAGAAGTTGGGAACATCTTTGTGTGACGAAAATGAAGCATAGCCTAACTATATGATTTTGTAGGGATGAACTTTCTTTTGCCATGTTATTTTGAGAAGACATGATTGCTTTGATTAGTATGCTTGAAGTATTATTATTTTTGTGTCAATATGAAATTTTGTCTTGAATCTTTCGGATCTGAATATTCATATCACAATTAAGAAGATTTACATTGAAATTATGCCAAAGTATCACTCCGCATCAAAAATTCTTTTTTATCATTTACCTACTTGAGGACGAGCAGGAATTAAGCTTGGGGATGCCTGATACGTCTCCAACGTATCTATAATTTTTGATTGCTCCATGCTACTTTATCTACTGTTTTGGACTATATTGGGCTTTATTTTCCACTTTTATATTACTTTTGGGACTAACCTATTAACCGGAGGCCCAGCCCAGAATTGCTGTTTTTTGCCTTTTTCAGTATTTCAAAGAAACAGAATATCAAACGGAGTCCAAACGGAATGAAACCTTCGGGATCGTGATTTTCCAACCGAACGTGATCCAGGAGACTTGGACCCTACTCCAAGTAGTGCCCGAGGAGATCATGAGGGTGGAGGGCGCCCCCCTGGGCGCGCCCCCCTACCTCGTGGGCCCCTCGGAGCTCCACCGACATACTCCTTCCTCCTATATATACCTACGTATCCCCGAATGATCACAACAGGAGCCAAAAACCTAATTTCACCGCCGCAACCTTCTGTATCCATGAGATCCCATCTTGGGGCCTATTTCGGAGCTCCGCCGGAGGGGGCATCCACCACGGAGGGCTTCTACATCATCACCATAGCCCCTCCGATGAATTGTGAGTAGTTTACTTCAGACCTTCGGGTCCATAGCTAGTAGCTAGATGGCTTCTTCTCTCTTTTTGGATCTCAATACAATGTTCTCCCCCTCTCTCGTGGAGATCTATTCGATGTAATCTTCTTTTTGCGGTGTGTTTGTTGAGACCGATGAATTGTGGGTTTATGATCCAGTATTATCTATGGAAAATATTTGATTCTTCTCTGAATTCTTTTGTGTATGATTGAGTTATCTTTGCAAGTCCCTTCAAATTATCCATTTTGGTTTGACCAACTAGATTGGTAGTTCTTGCAATGGGAGAAGTGCTTAGCTTTGGGTTCAATCTTGCGGTGTCCTTACCAAGTGACAGAAGGGGCAGCAAGGCACGTATTGTATTGTTGCCATCGAGGATAACAAGATGGTTTTTTTATCATATTGCATGAATTTATCCCTCTACATCATGTCATCTTGCTTATGGCGTTACTCTGTTTTTAACTTAATACTCTAGATGCATGCTGGATAGCGGTCGATGAGTGGAGTAATAGTAGTAGATGCAGAATCGTTTCGATCTACTTGTTTTGGACGTGATGCCTATATACATGATCATTGCCTAGATATACTCATAACTATGCTCAATTCTGTCACTTGCTCAACAGTAATTTGTTCACCCACCGTAGAATACTTATGCTCTTGAGAGAAGCCACTAGTGAAACCTATGGCCCCCGGGTCTATTCTCATCATATCAATCTATATCACTTTATTTACTTGCTTTGTTTTTACTTTGCCTTTACTTTTTACTTTGCATCTATCTATCAAAAATACCAAAAATATTATCTCTATCAGATCTCACTCTCGTAAGTGACCGTGAAGGAATTGACAACCCCTAAGCATTGGTTGCGAGTTGCTATCATTTTGTGTAGGTACGAGGGACTTGTGCGTGGTCTCCTATTGGATTGATACCTTGGTTCTCAAAAACTGAGGGAAATACTTACGCTACTTTGCTGCATCATCCTCTCCTCTTCGAGGAAATCCAACGCAGTGCTCAAGACGTAGCAATCAAGCACCGTAAGATCGAACCCATCACAAAGCACCTCTTCCCATTGCAAGATAAATAGATCAAGTTGGCCAAACAAAACCCAAATATCAGAGAAGAAATACGAGGCTATAATCAATCATGCATATAAGAGATCAAAGAAGACTCAAATAACTTTCATGGATAAAAACATAGATCTGGTCATAAACTCAAAGTTCATCGGATCCCAACAAACACATCGCAAAAAGACTTACATCATATGGATCTCCAAGAGACCATTGTATTGATAATCAAGAGAGAAAGAGAGGAAGCCATCTAGCTACTAACTACGGACCCGTAGGTCTACAAAGAACTACTCACGCATCATCGGAGAGGCACCAATGGACATGATGAACCCCTCTGAGATGGTGTCTAGATTGGATCTGGTGTTTCTGGACTCTACGGCGGCTGGAATTGATTTTCGTCGACTCCCCTATGGTTTCTGGAATATTGGGGGTATTTATAGAGCAAAGAGGCGGTGCGGGAGGCCAATAAGGAGGGCACAACCCAACGGGGCATGCCTGGCCCCCAGGTGCACCCTGGTGGGTTGTGCTCCCCTCGGAGCTCCCCTGAGGTGCGTTCCTGGCCCACTGGATGTCTGCTGGCCAAAAAAATCCACAAAAAGTTTCACTGCGTTTGGACTCCGTTTGGTATTGATTTCCTGGAATGTAAAAAACATGCAGAAAACAACAACTGGCACTGGGCACTATGTCAATAGGTTAGTACCAAAAAATGATATAAAATGACTACAAAATGATTGTAAAGCATCCAAGAATGATAATATAACAGCATGAAACAATAAAAAATTATAGATACATTGGAGACATATCATTCCTCATCTCCTATTCAATTTGAAGTATTATTTAAAGAGTAATTTGCTCTTAAGGCCCTTCAAACTTGACTGACTATGACAACTATACATTAGTTTGATATTGCATTTACCATGTTTAAGTGAGGTTTACCATCCATGGCATGAATAAATCATGATGCAGCAATACTCCATTCTTCTGAGTGGAAATTTTGTGAGTTTCATGGTTTTGAGAATAATTGTTCTTGTCCAAAATAAATTTAGCTAGTACTCCCTCTGTCCGAAGTTAGTGCTAGATACTTCCATTTGAGGAACAAGCTTGGGACAAGTTTTTCCGGACAGAGGTGGTACTAAGCACATGGAAAAATAAAATGTAAATATACATGAATACTCCCTCCAGTTCTCTATAAGTTGTAGTTTTGTGTTACAGATATAAGGGTGGTCTTAACTTTTTAGACCTTTGACTAGTAACATTGTTAAAATATTTTTTTGGATACCTAAAAATTGTAGGTGTAACTCTTAAAAAGCAATATAACATCGTATAATTTTTTGTTTTTTCATAAATATATTTCAATATAGGCTGTTGGTCGAAGATTTAATTTGGGGACCAGTAGATGTCCAAAATGGCAACTATTATGGAACCGAAGGGAGTACGTGCTTGAATGAATTACAAAAGCAAATGCAGAAGTCCTTCTCTTTCCATGATCTTACCTTCTCACAATCATTAGTGTTGATTAGTACACCAAGGATAAATTATAACTCTTTTAGAAATGCTATTTAAGTAGTAACATGCAAGTATCTTTCATTTCTATCATCTTAAATCTTGAATTTTCTGGTAGTTCTTCCTAATATATTCATGACCCCCCCCCCTAAAATTGTTGAATTGGTTTAGATTATTTATTATATGAAAAAGAGCTAAGGTACCACAACTACTTATGACCTATTTGTTGAGAATGATGTAAATTCAATGTTATTCATTCTTATTGTGTCCTTTGCATTATATATTATCACTAGCATTTGGGGATAAATCTACAGGTACCGGAGACCCGCTCTTCATTGTGTCTCCATTGAACATGAAAAAAGAAGAAAGTGAAACTTTTATAAATATTCACCTCATGGAATTACACTATGTATAATTTTGATAAGTCTTGGCACAAATTAGCATGAAACAACAATGTAGACTCTATACATTGTTGCCTAAAATAACACATATGAACCGCTCTAAAATGTATGTATTAGGAAAAAGTGCCCCCTCTTTACAATAGTAAAGCCAAACTAACTAATTAAAGCACCACATCAACTAGGATGTCAAAACTTAGTGAACACATGATTCCTCAAAGCGAAAGCAGAAGATGATCAAAAGACTACATTTACAAGGCCCTAAGTTCTAAAGAAACAAGGCCTTTGTAGATGCTTGTTTTCTCCATCAGCAAGGGAAAGAAAAAACGGTCCACATGTTTTAAACGATCTAAACATGGAAGTAAAAGTAGGTATAAGCCATTATTCACAACATAATTTGCAAATTGTCATGGTCTCAGTACATAAATGACATACACCTTCTTCGGTAAGAGACAAATATCTTTAATGACACAAACCATCTTGTTATACTAACGACAAAATCACAATAAGCACCATCCAATTAATGAAAAAGTAGTGCCCAACACCGCACATTACGTAGATAGTTCCAAAAGCTAACGTAATTTGTTACGTTACTTATAAGAAACTCTTTCTTCTGTGACCTGTACTTGCTTTTATTATTGTTCCTTTGTATCATAGAGTTCCTTCGTCTCCACATCCCTCCTCATCCTCTAGATCTATCTATGTCCCTGCCTTCATCTCCTTCTTTGGTGAGAGGCGGAAAAGTTGGCACCGAGGTGGTACAAGCATCGGTGGACCAAAAGATGACATCGATGGAGTATCTGGTGCTCAACCTTTGCGACCCTACGCTACGCGAGAGATCCCTCGCGGAGCTCTCTAAGGTCCTTGTGCATCCTTTCATTTTCCTGATTAGTGCCCCTCTTGAGGAAAGAGTCCCCTTTCATAAATCCCTAGCGATGTTTGTTGTGAATTCTGGCCCGGGATAGTGGAAAAATTGCGCCTTTAGCCTAGTTTTGATTGAATGCATTTTTTTCTTCTCTCTCATGCTTAGTTCAAAGTAAACTCAATCAAACATGGCCTTAGATCTTAGTGATGTTGTTTGCTCTAGTGGGGCTATCTAGTTCATAATAAACTCAATCAAAACATGCCCTGGAATTCCCCCTCCCGGCAACGGCGAACTCCGATCCCTCCCCATCGTTCCATCCCGCCACCGGTGCCGGCGTGGTCCGGTGGGTGCGACGCTAGCCTCGGCAGGACGACTTTCCCCGTGCATCCATAGGTGGGCGCGAGGGCCCCCTGACGGTGGCGCTGCTGCTTGGCCGACGGTGGTGTGGCTCAGCGGCGGCAATCCCGCGGGCCATGGGTGCCCTTGATGCGGCGACGCGACCGTTGGTCACGGGACGGCACGGTGGCTGGCGGTGCCCGCTCAGCCCAGATCTGGGCCCTTCTGGGCCCCATCTGGGTTGAGACGGGCCGGCAGTTCGACGGCGGTGTTGCTCCCTGGTGGTGGTGAGGTGACGGTGTTTTCGGGCGGTGGCGGCTTCGTCGGCCGGCGTGATGCAGTGTGCGGGCAGGGACTGTCCGGACCCATTTGGGCCCGGCCGAGCCGTCGGGGCCTTGTAGGTCCTTGTCGTCGCGTCCGGTCGGCTTCAAGAGGGCAGTGGAGGTTGTCCCCTTCCGCCGGTCGTGTTGTGGTTGCTCCCGTGGTCGTTGTCTCCTTTCCCTTCCTCTAGATCTCATGTTGGCGGCCCCAATGAGATGGCGATGCTGGTTTGGTGACCGTGGTGGCATAGGCTGGTGGGCAGCAAGTTAGGTGGTGCACTACAGAGTGTCCAGGGTGGTAGTGGTTGTTGGGCCGGGATAAATCCCTGGCGGCTCATCCGTCACCGACGTGGTGACGCATGCGGGCGCAGCCAGACCTTCATCAAGGGCGTCGGGTATACCCCTTTCCCACTGCCCTCCGCGTACCGGTGAAAACCCTAGGACTTGTACGGGCAACAACGGCGGCGGCGTCGCATTCCATCTTGAAGGTGTTGCTTGGTACGCAACGCTTTGGGGTGCTAGGAACGCGGTGGAATTTCTCCGAAGGGTGCAGGGGTTGCCGGTCTTCTTCGCTTTGTTGATCTGCCAGTGTCGGCATTTGTTTCTCTTTCCTTTTTCTTGTTCTTCCTTTTGGGCTTGTTTGTGCTGTGGCCCCAGCGAGCTGGATGTACCGGATGGTTGCTTTGTTATATAAAGGGGGGATGGAATCCTTTATCATAAATAGTTGTTAGGGATATGAACCACTCCAATGTGGATGTTTTTTACTTGTATACAATGCTGCTTTGATGAAGAGATACAACACTCTTTGTATGTTACAATCTGATTTGTCAATAGTGACCAATCAATTCAACAATGCTTCTAAACCAAACAATGGTCGATTTTATGTTCATTTATTAGTTTGCATAATCATGAAGGAAGACCCTATTTTGTTGTATAATGTTGTTTCGTTAAATTTTAGGAGAGGGAGATGTTTCCGGATCTGGCCCCTTTGTTGTGGTACTCATTCGGCACAATTGCCGCGTTGGTCCAGGTATGTCATAAACATTTGCTACTTCTACATTTGCGAATTTAGTATGAGCATGCGTGAAAACCACAAAAAACAAGGTTTTGAGCCCTTTAGCCTATTTATTAAAAAAATCAGTTTGATATGGTAGTTAGTCATTCTTGGTCATATTCAGTCTTCTTGTAGTAAGTGATAGTATCAGTTATTATTAAGTTTTGAATTTCCAATCTTAGTTTCTCACTGGCCTACTTGGCTACTTGAAACATAAACAGGAGATTCTAAGAATCTACCCTGCGCTTTCGCCTCCAACTTTAACGTCTGCTGCATCAACACGGGTTTGCAACGCACTCACACTTTTTCAGGTATGCACTTAGGAAAAAATAAATTCATAATGATTTCTTGTTACTGCCATATCATGGTTTAATGTTCGACAAAGGAGTTTCTAATGCATATTTGTTCTTAATTACCTTGAATTTCACACAATAATTTTGTAACATATTTCTTTAACCTCTTCTATTTCTATTTGTTATTGCAGTGCGTTGCATCACGCCCTGAGACCAGAAGCTCTTTCATAGAAGGTAATGAGAACCACTTCGCGTATTAGATTTCAGTGCACCGTTGGTGTGCTTTGTCAGTTATCATACATTTTGGCTAAATATTTTTGCTAGCTACTATCTTAGTAGTTGATTTGTAATAGTTTTATATATGGCATGGTTCTCAAAATGATATAGAGCAACAAAAGGTTTTTCACTTTTATAAACCTTTAGTTTTTGGATCTTTTTGTCAATGATTTGTTTTTCAACTATTGGTATTTCAGCTGATATTCCATTGTACCTGTACCCATTCTTGCGTACCGTAGACAAGGCCCAAGCTTTTGAGCAATTGCGGCTCGCCACTTTGGGTGTCATTGGTGCTCTGGTAAAGGTAACTCGTACTTGGAAGGCTGGAAATTTAAATTTCTTACATGGCCTTAAACTAGATAGGAAAACTCGGCTTGTTTCACATAATATGCAATGCATTTGTCAATTAACTTATGTACCTTGGCATGAATTTCAAATGGGTTTACCATCCTTGTTATACATGGAATGGGACTAACTCCACCAACATGGAAGGGAAATATAGTTACATATTTATAACTTAAGTTTTGTTGTAATGATTCTTCCATGTTTTTGCTGAATAATTAGTTGAGTTTTTAGCACAATGCAGTGAACACGTTATATCACCTTCAAATTAGCTGATACGAATATAGATAATATGGCCAGTTTGTCACCACATAATGTAGTTCTCAGTTGTTTATAAGTTTGAAGTATTAACTCATCATCATATGTTTTCGAACTTGGTTCTTAGTGAAATAAATTACATTAATAAGATTCCAAACGACATGGATTTAAAGGGTATGAGATCAGGGTCTATCGTTTTTTGTGTGTATTGGGATGGGGAGGGGAGGGGTAGCGTTGATTGAGATGGGTCATGGGAGAGAATTAGACAAGATGAGAGGTATCAAATAGAGAGGATTTTTTTGATGATTGATTATGAGATATGTGATTTCCATATATAATGGATGTTTGGGTTCTTAGAGGCCTTTTCAATTTAATATGTCGTCCTAACTCGTATAAACGTGTTGAACCTGTTGTTACCATCGTTGTCCAACACGTCGGACTAACTCACTGTTGTAGCCCGGGCATTTCTCCACAACATCATCACTACTTTTACTCAATGTTCTCTTTTTAGTGCCTGCAAAAAAGGGTAAGTTAGTAATACTAATGTGTTGGTCAGCTGGAAGGCAAATTTACATCACCATATGTTTCCCAGCAAAGCTTGAAAGGATAAACTTGTTTTGTTGCATATTATCCTCAATCTCCCCCTTCATTTTGTTCAAATACATCATAATATTTTGAAGATCTATTTTTTTGTTTTATCAATACAAGTTTAACAAATGAGATTTGGTTGGTTTTCCTTGTGATATGTACATGCAGGATGAGAATACTAAAGCTACTGAGTATTTGCTCAAATGTGAAACCATTCCTTTGTGCTTGAATATCATGGAGATAGGCAATGAGCCTTCAAAAACCGTATGTAGCTAGACACCTTTACTCTCATATAAAATGTATGCTGCTTATGCTCAACACACGATTTATTAGGAAGACTTCTCCCCCATTCTTGCCCCCCCCAGGATTCCATCCCCATGGGATACAATCGCAATTGAAAAGCAGGTTTAATATAATTTTGAAGTAATAGAACAACTTTACTGATTGACAAGCATATATGAACACATTTTGTCCAATATAGCTTTGAAGCTTAAGCCCCGCTATTGTTTGGGCTACAGATTCAACTGCTTTTTTGTAGCAGATATACTTCCACCACGTCATCTCAACAATTATATGTAACATTGTTATTTTCCTTGTAACACCTCTTTTTCTTATAATAATCCACACAAGTCAAGTATCAGGAGCATGTCTCTTGTTGCAGTTGAAGTTCAAGTAGAAGCAAATCCTAGAGATAAGCCCAATAACGAATGGACACTCCTTTTGCTAATTCCTATGACCATTGCCCACTCATTTTGCAGGTGTCCACTTTCATTCTCCTAAAGGTTCTGCGAAACGAACTTGGTCTGCATCGCTGTTGTGACACTCGCGGTCCTTTCTATGATATTGCTTTTGCTTTACAAAAGAGGGTTAACTCACCAGACGAACGGCCTTCGGCAAGGTTGCTGAGGTGCATTATCCAGTGTTACCTTAGGCTATTAGATCATCCTAGGTTTGTACCTGCTGTCATCCCTATTATTACTGTGATGTCTTTTCACAACTATATATACTCTTATGAAGTAGTAGTACCAATGCTATTTTCTTCTTCTCTCCGATGCAGGGGCCATGCGGTGTTAAAAACATGGTTTCCCAGCGTGCTACAGACCGGGACATTCAATGACTATCTCACGGTGAGTCTTGATACTTGGGCTATAACAATAATGCTGCTCCCAAAATTCAGTTTGGTCCACTGAAGTAGATGGCGCAAGATTGCATATGAAACTGACTATATATATTTTCTTGCTGGAAACGTGTATATATATAGAAGGATCCTTCAATGCAAGAGTGTCTGCAGCAACTGTTGGCTAAGATGGAGGCTGGGAGTCCCATCAGGTCGCTCCATTTTCTCCGCTGCAGTGACAACGCTATCATACCATGAATCGCACAATATCGTTGCAGTTTCCATCGAGACAGCAAAAAAAAGGTTGTTGTGTTAATAAGCCTTGGGCAATCATCGGTGTTTGGAACATGTAGAGACTGTAATAAATTATAGGGGACGGAAGAAGCCCCTATACATGATGATCCTTCTCTTCTGCCGTATTCGTATTTGCGTGTTAATTAAATAAATACTAGCTAAGTTATTATGGTTCCATGTTGGGGAGGTTGTTGTGCTACCGTTGGAATTATGGAACGTAAATCGAATTGAGTTGTCATGGAGATTGTTGCTTTGTTGATCATATGCTGTGCATGCATTATCTGAGATACTGGCAATGAGCTTGACTAGGCGTAGATTTTACTGAGTTTCGCCCTTCATTTTGAAGGGTCGAGGACGGGAGAGACGGTGGAAGCTTCACGAGGTGCTAGAAGCTGATTGTTTTTTTTTTCCTCCCCGTGGCTTCGAGGTGGTTGGGCCGGTAAAAAGATCCACCCGTATGCACAATCTCAGATGGGCCGGGTTGTTTTCTCTAGAGGGCTCCACCGTCTCTCTCGCCAGTTCTACAGGCTCTCGGAAAAAAAAAAGCAGTTCTCCAGGCGGCGGCTCGCTTCCTGCCT